CTACTGTAAAACCTTCTATTTGCATACCATCACAAATTTTGTGCAGGGCGGATTGGCGCATGCCTTTGTGTTTAAAAAATTCCGAAGTGATATCCCACAAACACACATGTTCTCTGTACAAAGAAACAAATTGAAGAGTTTGATTTTCAGTTAACTTCATTGTTCGGAATTACCTATAAAATTCCATAAAATAACAACAATGTGTGTTCACTGTTAAACGTGTATTCAAGCACTGGATTGGCCGTTCACATTATTCCAGTGGCGCTGGATTGGGTTAGCTGGAATGAAAAATAGACCGTCATTCCAGTCAACTGGACTGGATTGATCACTGGCATAGTACATTCCAGTGCAGGTTCACATTATTCCAGTAGCATTCCAGCGCTAGACTGGAATGCTGGACTGGAATGCTACTGGAATAATGTGAACCGGGCATTAAGTAGGTAGGAATCAACCTTCTGTGTCTGATATAGTACATTCATTTAGGACATAAAAGAACGCCCGCACGCACGTCTCACGGGGTTAGTAGGTAAAAATATTTAATGCATATTTCTGTGTGTGACAGCTTCGATAAACTTTATTTGACATATAAAAACGTAACTACATATTCTTTTTTTAGACAAAAGTATATTCTTTATTAAACATATTTCATATTTACAATCAAGTATACAATATTTACAATTTTCTTAAGCTACAAAGTAATAATAAAAATTAATAAAAAGAAAATCGAAACAAATTTAAAAAGTTTGGTTAAAAAGCATTTCTTCGCTGTATTGCGATACTTATTCGTTTAGGAAAGCACCAGCTTTGGGGTCACCGGTCTACTAGGCGCCAACTTAAATCTTTAATAAGCGTCTGTGCACTTGAACCCCACGGCCCAAGAGACTCCAAAGGGAACAAAATCAAAGTTGGAGAGTAATATTCTTATAAGTTTCCGTCACGTTTATAAAACATCAAATATAAAACCTCATTCAACAAAATTCAAACTGGCCATGAATAAGCACAAGGAACCGGTTTAAAAAAGAGCGTTATTTGTGACGTTTCGCTTTTCCCGCCTCCACGGTGCCATGCGCCGATTGGACACGCTCCGGCCAATAGGTCCGACTACCCGTACCCGACCGTAATTATAATTTAACATTGAATAGGCCAGGCGCTTGTAAAATTAATACAATGCTTATAAATATATGCTATAGATAAAATAAGTATTCGGTTGTTTCGTCTTCTGTACAAGAGAGCATTCGTGGGATTTAACATCATGGTCTGGTCAATATAGACATTTGAAATAACAAAAATTAGCGGAGAGCCAAATTTTGCTGGAGGCTGGGGTTTACCATTACAAAATATAAAGTTTTAAAAATCCCCATCGATCCCATGTGTGGTACAAAAGTTATTCGGGGTCAAAGGTCAACATTGATTTTTTCTCCAAAACGGTAAGTTTTATCAAGAAACGTTTCAAGCCAAAGTTGTAGATCCTTAAATTCTCTACAAAAATGGTCCTCTTCTTGAAGGACCCTAAGTTGATTGGTTTGGTAATACTTCAAAAGGTTTCAGAATTGCAAGACAGATAAAACAAAGAAAGTCACTGGGTGGTCACGAAACGTTTTACTATTGGGGGGATCAAGAATCTCCAAAAATTGCGTAACATAATACTTGAACGCTCCCTAAACCTTCACGCAAGTGGAGTCCACCACCAATGTTATTTTTTGAAAACTATAACTAAAATGAGCAGTGTTGGCTCAGTGGCTTCAGCCTGCGACTCCCTAAGGTCGTACATTCGAACTCCGGCTTCTATGAAGTGGATCCACTTTCTATTTATGTGCGCAGGAAAACATGTTGAGGACACTGTCTTACATTAGAGTTAAGACCCAAAAAGACGACGGCGTGTGTCAGGCACAGAAGGCTGATCACCTACTTAAATAAGAGACCTAAAATGAACACGAAACAGATACAGATCTTAGGCCCAGACCTAAAAAGTTGTAGCGATATTGGTTTTTGATGTGAAACATCTAGGTATAGCCGCACGCAAAACCGATTTCTGGCGTGGCGTCATCGTTATCTGGAAAAAAATTGAAGTATTTTATTTTATCATTATGACATTAATTTCCTAGCACAATCTGTTAATTTCTGCATACTTATTACTTTTGCAAAATAATGTCGATGTTTCACACCTGCCAGGCGTCCCGTGACGGCTCACATTTATTAAAAATCATATCATTTTATTTAAGAAAATAACGATTTTCATCTTAAAAATCTTGTCGATAATAGATTCCACCGGTATCACCTCGACGTCCGTTGACAACTGAGCGTTTTTAAGGCCGTTTCTGAATCGCACCATCACTATATGCAACCAGCTGCCAACCAGGGACCAAGAAAAGATCCTAGCAATTCTTAAAAAGCTTGTGAGCCTTCTGACTGAAAGTTTCCATGGGATGGATCACTTAACATCAGATGAGCCTCCTGTCCATTTGCCCCCTGTTCTATATTAAGAAAAAGGATTAGAATATTCTACGAATAAGCCTTCAAAAAAGGCATTTTTTTCAGAACTGGAACGCGTTCCAGTACTTTTTAGAAGAATTTTTTTCTGAATTTAATTTGGAGTTTGGAGAAAAGAAAGTAGTATCTCTCTGCCAACGCTTTAATTTACCTTTGGGGAAAACATTAAATGACTTTAGAGGTCACTTGGCTTTTGGTGGTGGTAACATTTCAGACGATTTGAAAACTAAAAAAATATTCTAAAATTATAGACTGCAGCCTTGCGATTCTGTAACTCACTTTTCAGATAGGGATGGAACTTGTAGTTTATTGCTTATCAGAATGCCAAATCGTAAAATGACTGCTTTACGACTGATTTGAGTGCGACAGCCGCTGCGAAAACCGCTGTGCGAGTTCGAAAAGTGAGTTACAGAATCGCAGGGCTGTTCCTAGAATGGAATGTTTTTTGTAGTACCTACACAACAATAATATCTTTCTGATTATCTTTTTTTTTTGTGTTCGTTAATATTTTGTAAAGTAAGAATAAGGAAAAATAAAAACATACATGGAAAAAAAATTAAGTTTATTTTGCGTTCCCTTACTTCTTATTTTACCAATACACCACTGCTCACCACAGTTGGCTATGAGGCCGTACATGCGAACCCCAGCTGTGTATAACATCTTCGATGATCTTGTTACACTCGCGAGGCACAAGGGCGAACTATTAGCCGTTGATGAGGGTTGCAGTAGCAGCAGCAGATGTCTTGACTTGTTGTTATGAGGACCGTGGAGTCAATGGGGTCATGTCTGGAGGTGTCAAATCCGGTGGTGAGGGACCAAGGAGTGTTCTCGACTATCAGGCAGACTCGCGGCTCGCGATCAAGCCCTGCCAGGCGCCAGCTGAGACCCCTGTTTGGCCCGGGGAGGCCTAGCTAGGCGACCAGCGGTTGAAGCCACGGTTTCTGTCCTGATGTCGAGTACAATGTCGTTCGTACCTGCGGACAATAGTTGAAGGGTAATAGAAACGTGTGTATAACATCTACAAAATATAATTTTAAATACCTAAAGCAGGCAAAAGAAAATCTCTTTTTGTCATCAGAATTTTCTCTATGGTTCGTTTAATTTGCCACGTGTCGGTATAATGAGCGGGGCGGCATAGACAAATCACAAAGTTCTATTAGCTTTGTTTTTTTGGCGCGAACGTTCTGCCCTCTGGCGTTCGCTAATTGACGCGATCATTACGGCCCTACAAGTTTTTGTTACGTAGTAAATTGGTGCAAGCGTGTAACCAACCTAAAACTATATTTAAGTAAATTACTTTCGTACTAGATTGTAAATCTTTGATTATACAAATATCTATACAATAAAATAAATATATTTTATTTTATATTGCTAAATTGGTCCATTATTTATTAAATTAAATCAGTCACTAGTCACTAACTTTTTGAAGTGAAACTTCTTTAGGCGCAGAAGAATAAAATATCGAAGAAAAGGCAGAGAGTGATTGAAACCGGTTGAGAGAGAGTGAGAGGGGTGAATTACCTTATAGAAATTCTATTTTTAAAATTAAAATTTCGATAAGAAAATTCATGAAATATTAAAGTTTTATAAATAAAATAAAAAATAAAAATATGTTTACTATGGAACATAAGATACATGTATCACTTATTCTTTTTATTAACTGTAAATTAAAATGCCACTTGTTTTTATTATCGAAGAAATAAATTTAAAAAATTAAATTTATTATTTGTATTAATTTTAATGACAATTAAATTCATTAAATCCCTCAAATATATTCCTTTTTCCCTCCCTCTAAGAAATAAATAGAAAAAGTATTTGTTGCATAAGCACGAATTTGGTGATCTAAAATTACATTTTTTATCTGTGTAGTGACATCTCATGCGTAATAGAACTTACAACCGACTATGTACAACGCCATCTCTGGAGTTATACTTATATCTGTGGAAATTGGAGAAACTTCAAATTGTATTTGGCCTTTAATTGACAAGTTAGTTTTGCGTCACCTAGCGCGTATTAACATTTAATAATAATAATAATAATAATCATTATCCAGTGACTGCGCAAAACGCCATCTATATTTTATCATATATAAAAACTGTCATAGTAATCGCATTTGTATGTACCAAAACGAAGGTATTAAAATAAAACAACTATCTTTTATATAAAATGGAATTTATACATAAAAACATTGTTTTAAAGTTTTCACTCTCAGCATGTACATAGGTAGTAACAGCATAAGTTAAAAAAAACAATTTTACCTTAGTTACAGGACATGGTTAGGTTACTATTGATATTAATGTTTGTATGTGCCATTCCACAATCTAGATTTTGTACTTCAAGCATTTTTAAACAAAAACTTATTATCTCACTTCATAAGCTGAAAACAGAAAATTGGATAACAAACTTGACAATAAATATAGGATTAATTTTGTGTTTATTTATGTGTTTATTATATCTTGTTGCATCTGTGTATAAAAGTGTAACATAAAATTATACCTAAAATTAAAATCTTAAAAAGCTAATTTCTTCATTAGTAAATACATATGCTGATCTACTTCAAAACCATGTAAATTATTTGCGTCTCCTTGTAACCTCATTAGAAGACCGCCAAATGAGACATATGCTGATAATCTTGTCGCTGGTTCCATGCCTGCTTCATCACCGTCTATCCTGAAAAATCATGTTAATAAAATATATGTCACTATATAACAACTAGTATACAGAAGATATACATCATAGTAGAAAATGCTACTCATGTGATAAGTATGATTGCCGTATGTTATTATGTTTTGGACATTAATACTTATTTCTTAGTCCTGGCTCTAATAAGCCTTTAGAGATAGTGAAATTTGAATTTAAGCCCTTAACATTTTGCTGGTTTAAAATAAAATATGTATTGAACATAGTACACAAAAGATGCGGCAAAACTTTGATAAACATAGAACTAACCTATAAACTTTCCCATACATAACATATTCGAAACTATCTGCTCGGTTTCCTTCCGTCTCAAGAGGATTCCATTCCCCACCGTCTGGGTAACCATTTTCTCTTAAAGTTGTAGCAAGCACCAATCTAAACTTATCACCAAGTTCCATTGGATATATCCACGAATTAATGTCTAAAATCAAATCCATCTTGAACGACTCAGATTCACAGTGAAGCCGGCTGACTCGATCAAATTTCTTCCCTTCAGGGTCCATATCTTTTACATTAAATATATCTTCAAATAAAACACCTGCCATTGTGTATTTTTTTGTGTTAAACTCAGAAGTTTTATGTCTTTTGGCTTTTTCGAAAGTAAATCAAAAACCGTAAGATGCTGCCAAAAATCTAAACAATTAACAAACTGACAAGTCTCTTGTTATTTTTTGACTTGACGATTGACATCATCAAAAAAACGAGGTATGTGACAGTTACAAAAAATATTGTTTTGTTCAATTAATATAATAAGTTTGTTTCTGTTAACAAATGTATATCTGTTATACAAAACAGTGAAAAATTAAATAACATCTAGGAATTGTGAGTCAGGTTTCAAAAATAATATTTTAACATACATTACTAATACAAGCATTATTCTAAATACCTATTTTTGTTATTTCGTACCTAATACATACTGTATGTATATTATCTGTGTACTTGTAGTTGTGAGTTTACAGTTGTCAATTTTCAAACATGCGACGTTTTAAAAAGAAGCTAACCTCGCGTGTTTTGCACGTGTTAGTTAATAACATACATATTATATATTAAAATTTAAGTTGTTATATTTAAAAGTCAAAGATTCTGATAGATTTAATCTATTAAAAGAGTTAAGCAATTGAATATTAACGAATAACACGAAAATGACGGATATTGCGGTACCGGGAAAAGAGGTGTTTTCGGAAAAGAAAAAGAAGAAAAATAAGGATGCTGTTTCTTTGGGCACGTTTCAGAAGATTGGCGATTTCAAAATTGAGCCCTCCGAAAGTGTTGGTAAGATAGATACAGCTTACTGGCCTTTATTATTGAAAAACTTTGACCGTCTCAACGTGCGTACTAACCATTACACACCTTTACCGTTTGGACATTCACCGCTTAAGAGACCTATTTCGGAGTACGTCAAGTCTGGCTTTATTAACGTTGATAAACCTAGCAATCCCAGTTCACACGAAGTTGTGTCTTGGATAAAACGGATCTTGAAAGTGGAGAAAACAGGTCACTCAGGCACACTTGATCCCAAGGTCACGGGTTGCTTAATCGTATGCATTGACAAAGCTACACGTCTTGTAAAATCTCAACAGAATGCTGGTAAGGAGTATGTAGCAGTATTTAACCTCCATTCTGCTGTGGAGAGTATTAAAAAAGTAACACAAGGCTTGGAGAAGCTTCGGGGTGCACTGTTCCAGAGACCTCCACTTATATCAGCTGTTAAACGTCAACTTCGTGTGCGTACTGTATATGACAGTAAATTATTAGCCTATGATGAAGAAAAAAATGTTGGAGTTTTTTGGGTTAGTTGTGAGGCTGGTTCCTACATCCGTACAATGTGTGTTCATTTGGGTCTCATGCTTGGTGTTGGTGGTCAGATGATCGAGCTTAGACGTGTAAGATCAGGTATACAGGGTGAAAAGGAAGGCATGGTTACTATGCATGATATCTTAGATGCCCAATGGGCTTATGAAAACCATAAAGATGAAACTTATCTCCGCCGGGTTATAAATCCTTTAGAAGGCCTATTAATTGCTCACAAGAGGATTTTTATTAAAGATAGTGCAGTCAATGCAGTATGCTATGGTGCTAAGGTGTTACTGCCTGGTATTTTGAGATATGAAGATGGGATAGAAATAGATCAAGAGATTGTCATTGTAACAACAAAAGGAGAAGCTGTAGCCCTTGCCATTGCTCTGATGACAACATCCACAATAGCATCATGTGATCATGGTGTTGCAGCTAAACTTAAACGTGTTATCATGGAAAGAGATACTTATCCAAGAAAATGGGGCTTAGGTCCTAAAGCGTCACACAAGAAAATGCTCATTCAGCAAGGCAAGCTTGATAAACATGGAAAACCCAATGAAAACACTCCTAAAGAGTTTCTTAACAGTTATGTGAGTTATGATAAAAAAGAAAATGGTAGTGCAGATGTCGAGGATGATGGAAGTAGAAAACGTACAGCAAGTACGGCTGAAATAGTTAACCAAGATGACTCTATGGAAGCTAAAGCTGAAAAGAAAAAGAAAAAAAAGAAGAAGGATTTAGAGAGCACCGTTGATGCTGACACAACAGTTGATGCAGACACAACTGTAGAACAGGCAGATGGAGATGCAGGTGAAGAATCTAGCAAAAAACAAAAGAAGAAAAAGAAGAAGAAGGAAAAAGAACAAGAGAGGGAGGAAGAATGACTTAGCTACAAGTAAAAGTTATATTGACTGTAATAAATAAAGTGACAGATCACATTTAACAGTTATATGCTAATGCATAGACAAATAAATATCAGATTCAAATATATTTTCGTGACTCCGTTTCTGCTATAGCAAGTTAGCATTTTTAGTGTTAATTTAAGCAGACACCATTACTTACATTAAGTCTAAAATTGTGTAACTATTCAATATCCAGCCATTGCATAGTGAGCTAGTTTTGGTAAGTTACGGGTAATTTTTCTACGTAATTAAGCGAATGAAGAAACTCATGGATTTAATTAATTGTTGGATGGCTTTTGTTCATTTTAGAAGATAAGACAAAATAAAATCCCTATTTTTTTAGTTTTAAGAATAAATGATTAAAAAATTATATGAATAGTGTTTTTTCTCTTACCTGTACTGCCAACAAAATAAATGAAAAAGAACTTCTGCAGATAATGATTCAAAGATACTTCTTAAGCAATACCAGGAACCACTGAACCCATATTGATTATGATTTACACAAGCTACATTATTGTCAAAAGAATAAACATGTAAATATAATTGACAACAATTAAATTGGTGAATTATATTATTAGACTTAATTCTCAAAGGACAGGAAAATTTAGTTTTTTTGTACGGTTAACTCCTAAATTGCTTCACTAATATTAAAGTAATGCATTATAAATGGAGCATTAATAAAAATGAAGATTCTAATGAATCCTGCAGACCTTCAATGTACTTTCAGTACTGGGTGAGATAATTGAAACGCTCGGAAAAAACTAATAATCATTTATGTGACGGCTCATTGGTCTAGTGGTTAGTACCGCTGACTGCGAATCCATGGGTCCCGGGTTCGATCCCCGGCTGAACAAACATCGATGTGATGAGCATTACATGGTGTTGTGCTTAGATCTTGGGTGTTTAAATATGTATTTATATGTCTATCAATAATATGTATGTATATCTGTTGCCTAGTACCCATAACACAAGCTTCACCAGCTTAGCATGGGACTAGGTCAATTGGTGTGAATTGTCCAGAAAAAAAATCAGTACAAGAATCGATTCCTAAAGAAAAAAGATTGCAAATGGCAGCGGTTATTTTGAAATGCATGCCATTAAGCATGTCCTAGGCGCGACAGACAGCCCCATGTGCAGGGGCTGTTTCAGCGCAGAGGAATCAGTTAGCCACGTAGTCCTGGAATGCGAGGCTGTGGCTAAAACGTGCAGAAATCCTCGGAGCAGTGAGGTCGCTCCGTGAAGACTGCGAAGTGCAACCAAACCAAACCACATGACATCTTTAAGTAATTAATTGTTATGTACGGTTCCTGGGTCATCAGGGTGCTTTAAATAATAAGAGCATTTTAGTTTACTCTGTACAATGAATCTCTATGAACTCTATGAATATAAGCGAAATAATGAATGTTAATGGCTATGAAACGAATTAATGCAAAGTAACAGTTGAAGAGTGCCTGCATCTAGCTATACTCTCGGGATGTAACTCCTTTGATTTAGGAAATAGCCACGCTTATAAGAAAGCCTTAGTGAGCGAAATGTACAACCTTGGCTCGTACAAGTTAATTAAAAAAAAAACAAAGATTTGTCCTTTATCAGCAGTAGGCAACGTGAAATAGGAGCACACACTTACTCGTACTTATTCTCGTGGGAATAACATAGTCGAAATAAATAACATCACTGCATACACGAAATCAAGTACGACCAGTCACCGTATACACGAATTCAAGCCTACCGGATCCGACCAGTCACAAGTAGCACCCGTTCACGAGTATGACGCATGGCCAGCCATCGGCCCCCTCGCCATATTTTAGGGAGTGAGACACTTTTTACATTACACATTACACCTCCCGGTCCGACCCCACTCTCTTCGCATAACTTTATTAAGTTTCCCAGGCGCGGGAGTCTATAAATGGATCTCCCAACAATAAAGAAACTTACATCAACGCATTAATTTACTAACATTATTTATTTTAAATGATTAATTCCGATATTTCACAGCTTCGTCACAGGTTGACATGTGTGCACTTGTGACGGCACTGTGAGGTGTGCATGGTCACAATCTGACGTATATGCGTGTGCATGGTCACAAATTGGCGTGTACGTGTGCATACAAAGACATATATTTATTTACAATCGGTAATTCACAATATATATTTATCGCTTTTCGCGCCACACTGCTTCGTCGCTAGATGTCGCTTCAATGACTTCGCGCTTGTATAGAGGGCGCCACAATCGCAGATATAGTGCTGAGGTGCGTGTGCGCAGGATATATGTACTTCGAGACTCTTTTTATAAACGAATTTCTTGTCGCATACTGAACACTGTAATAAAATATAATTGTTTATTATAAACAAATTGGGGAGTAAGGGGAGAACGGAACTAACATCTTGCCCGGCCCAATTGTCAACCTCACCTGCACGCGCGACACTGCGGCGATACCTTGTATCGTGGTGCTCCCTGCTAGATAACGGACGAGGCTCTGGCGACCGAACAGTGGCGGTATAACCACATACCTGATCCGACAACGGATTAGTAGAGGCTACAGCGACCTTGGGAGGAAATAATCCCTTAAAAGTCTGGGGCAGAAGGCAACGGGAAACCACTGCTCAATATTTTTCCCTAGTAGTCAGTAATCATGAAAAAGTCTAATAAAACCACGGCCCCGAGTTCCTGGCGTCCCTTTGATGGGACAGGGGTGCGAAGAATCTCCAGGTGTTATAGAAAAACTCTAAGCATAGGAACATGGAATGTAAGAAGTCTGAAACAAGACGGTAAACTAACAAATTTGTTCTGAAACGAGTTGGAATGTCGAAAAAACTTTTGCAGAACATTAAACAACGGAAAGTTGCGTACCTGGGCCACGTGTTGCGCCATGACCGCTACCACCTCCTTCAATTAATTATAATGGGTAAAATCCAGGGTAAACGGCGTGTTGGTAGAAGGAAGAAATCATGGCTCCGCAACGTTAGAGAATGGACAGGTATTGCAACTGCAGAAGAGTTGCTGCATCTGGCACAGGACAAGACACGCTTCAAGATACTGACGGCCAACCTCCAGTAATGGAGAGGCACTAAAAGAAGATAAACAAATTAAATTTGGAATAATAGCGCAGAAATATATCTGCAGTATTATGAAGACTCAGTTATTATTTTTGGGATACCTAGGAATTTTATAAAGCGCCTCTCTCAAGTTGTGGGTTGGAACCCCGAACACCGCCGTTCAATTATTATGTAAGCACTATAGGGGGGAGGTGGGTCTTTGATTTTCTTATTTGGTGATTACGTCATCAGTAATTATTGAAGAGTAATTATTATTTCAGTAATAAATAAATAAATAGTAAATATTCTATTCGAATTAAATCAGCATGAGTGTTTTTGTGCTAAAAATGTGGAAACGAAGTCATATTGAAATGTTTTTAAATGGCGTAATCTAACTTATGGAGCAGTCCAGTTTCATTAAAATCGGTTTAGTAATTTCAGATATATAGATATCCAAGCATTCCTGGCAGAGACATCTATAATATGTGTTATTTAAATTTTTATTGTTGTATGTCTTCATCGTAGAGGGGTGAAAATTAAGGGTTGTATGTATTTTTGTATGTAGTATCATAAAAAAACAAAAAACAATTTTTTTCGTTTCGTTCGTCGAGCGTTCAAGTATTACGTAACGTATTTTGGGAGGGGGGTCCTTTTGTGAAACGTTACGATGCGGGGCGGGGATCGAATTACGCGTTATTGTTAATATTATTTTCGACTTACACCCCATAATAGTAACTAAAGAGTCACTAGGTGGTCACGAAACGTTTTACTATACTTGAGTTACATGGGGGGGGCAATAATCTCCACAAAATTGCGTTACGTAATACTTGAACGCTCCCTAAAACATTAAAAAAATTAGGAGTGGAAAGTTTCACGAAAATCGGTCGAGCCGTTTCGGAGTTTAATTACAAACACCGTGACACGAGAACTTTACATTTTACATTATCAATTTAAAATATGGTTTTGGACCATTGATTAATGTGTAAGTAAAATTAATTTCTAAAGCTCCATTAGTATACTTAGCACATGTATAAAACTTTACCTCATACTGTTTCAATGATGAATGTTTTTGCAGGTGTGCTTTAAGATTACCACTGGACACTGTACGGTATGAACAAATATCACATCCAAATGGCTTTATTCCTGTATGTGTCCTGGAACATATGTTAAACGTCTTATTAGATTGAAATCAGCATATATTTTATCCCAATAACGGAAGATAAATTTTAGCGTTCCTTGGATACTAATCTATGCAGTCTTCCGCCAATAAAAAAATGTTGATATGATTGTGATTGTAAAACATAATCTGAAAAACTAGAGATAAAAGAGTAAGTAGTAAGAGAAGAAAGAGAGAGAGTAGAGATAGATAGAGACGAGAAAGAGTTTGTCGTTAAACGTAGTAATTACCTCATATGTATATTTAATGCTGACTTCTGGTTGGTCTTGTATGCACAACATGTACAAGCATATTTCTTTAGGCCATTATGTATAAATGTGTGTTTGTATAGATAATCACGACGTTGGAAGACTCGTCCACATGTCTGAAAAGCATATCACTTTTATTTAATTAAATTTCCTCCAAAATGGTTGTTACATGTAAACTCAATGATACATGACTGGTTCCTTAATGGAGATTTATTTTAAGTCAATGAACCCAAAACACAATAAAACAAATTGAACACATAACAAAATGTTTTACCCTATGTGTAAGGGGCATACTGCATCACTAAAGCCTAACTTGTTTTAATATGAAAAATGAGTTCATTATTAGTTACCTCACACACATATCTCTTTGGATTATTATGTTTCTTCAGATGATTAATAAGTTTACCTTCATTGCCAAATCTCAAATGGCATAAATCACATTTAAATATATCATATTTTACAGCTTCAACTTTTACATTACTCTTATGTTGTTGGTCATGATTTTCATACTTTCTTCGCGTTGGTAGTAATATGTTGCAAATATTACATTTATATCCATTTTTGAGTTCCTGGCAGAATAGCCGCTCATGGCTAAGACAGAGACGTCTATTTCTAAAACCTTTTTCACAACCTAAACATTTGTAGAGGGTTATGCTGTTCTCGTGATGTTCTTCTCTATGTTTGTTAAGATATTCTGCAGTTTTAAAATCTATGAGACATACATAGCACCAGGAATCCGAACGCTTTTTGCGTATCCTTGTTTTTACTTGTTTAGTGTCCTTAACATTTAGTTTAGTGTCATTAACTATTGGTTCAGTTTCTATGGCTATTGGCATAGTTTCAATAACTATTGGTTTAATTTCAGGTTCTGGTGAGACTTCTTCAAAATGTGTATTATCTGAATCGTCTTCTTGATGCGATTCTATTTTGATTGGCTTATTTGCTAAAAAATCACGAAACTTTCTATAGGAATCTTGGCAAGTTTGCTTAAAGTCGTAAAACTGTTTAATCTTTATTTCGCATACTTTACAAATCCTGTTTGGGAATTCTTCTGTGAAATCTAAATCTAAACACTCTTTTATTTTTTCTGTAATACATTGCGTGATTTGAAGAGCACCAGTTCCAATTTTAAACAAACATAGTTGGCAAAAATCTTCTTGCATAAAGTATTCGGAAGAATTTATATTAAATTGTAACTCCAAGTGTTGGGCCATATTCAACCTATTTCCTAGTTAACTAGATTTTTTTTTTCGAATAAACATATTACTTATTCAAGACCATATAAAATACAAATTATTGTTAAATGGTAATGTTTACTTAATAAGTTTAAAGTTATTGTTTAACAGCGGAGTAAACTATCACCTAATGTGACAGACTGACTGCTGACATTTGTGAGTTGATACGACAGTTGACATACCACAAGACAAGAAGGACAGTGAAAAATTACTTTCCAAGCTCGCATGGGATTCCACTAGAAGTTATAAATAGTACACTTCGATAGATCAGAAAAAGCTTTGAACTTTAATGAACATTCACCAGTATTTTACAAATCCACTAAGTAAAACAATACCGTGTTTTCAATATTTTTGCGAATAGCGTCATCTGTTGACAAACGTAGACGTAGGTCACGTAGAAAATGACATGAAACCTAGTCTGATAATGACATCACACATCACGAATGTTTAAGATTTTATACAAGATGGCGCTTCGATCATATTACAGTTGCCTAGTTTTCCGCTAAACGGATGAAAAAGGCTAACTTTATCGCAGCGTAAATATAGTTACGACAGAAATAAATTAATGTAGACTTAATTAAGTAAAAATATAAGTAACAATCACAAACGAATATGTGGTATAATTTTATTTCAAGTAAAAGTTACGTCGCGTATCTATTGTCTGATTATGAAGATTTATAATTGTGTACAAAATGATCATTATTGTTGTGATAAAAAGTTGTGGATTTAAAACATATCAAAAGCTGTGTTAGTACAAATGAATCGCACTTAAAAATCTTACAGCGCTTCTAATTTTGGTACAAATATCTGTCCCAAGCGCTTTAATTTGATATTATAGCTGGTAAAGTGATTATTTTTGTAGGTCTATTGACCTCTTTTTTTCATAACCACAATAAATATGTTCTTGTCATAATATATGAAACAGAATCTAAAATTAATTATAAAAAACCTCAAACGTCTATGAAAAGGTTTTTAAAATGACTTTGATGTTTCTCAAACTCAATTGTTTGAAAGACAACACTTTGAAAGTGGTTTGAATGAGAGTCAACGATATTTAGATCTCAACGAACGAGATGCTCAGGAGTTTTTTTAAATAGATGTAGAACATTTTCTAACCACAAATATAACTGTGTCTTATTTCTATGAAAAACGTATTTTTAGTCTATGTAAGCTTAGTTTTAGGAAAAAAAACAAAATTACCAGTTATCCTTTATTACCCTTAAGTACAGCACATCTACACAATCACTCTAATATTGTCACGACAGGAACTTCAGATGCTAAAACTAATTCAATATATTAATATTTATTAAGTATTCAAAGCTCATTTTATTACCGGTTATAAAAACTCCGCTAACAGTATATTTTGGTTACAATATTTGCCAGAATGAACGAACCATAGAATGCCCTAATAATTTTTTTTAATGTCATTAAGCGTAGAACTGTTTAATAAACAATACAAATATTTTTAATCTTCGATCATTTGGCTGCAACAATATTCAGTAAAACGAAACTTTTGAACCGACTTAAAAACACAACAATAGGCTATTTGACAAGATTTAATTAACCATATCAGAATTATTAAAGACTATAGAATCTATACAAATTATAATTTTTAACTCTGTTAGTATTGGCTTTAAAAATTCAACTACAAGAACCCGCCAAAACGCTTCTCTAGCCAAGATGGCGTCGCACCATTCTATGGACTATGACAAACAATGTATGTAAACAAACGTCAAGATTTTTACGTGATATCGCTCTTAAATTACACAAATAAACATATATTATATTACGATCCAATACAGTCTCCAATTAAATCAAACTACTAGAAATATTAGATAAAGGTCTATTATTTACATGCTACGCCATCGTCTTTTTGACTGATCTGTGTCCGTTTTGTGTCACGTGTAACGTGTTTGACGTATCAATTTTTTTTTATAATAATGATTTTTACATTTTATCCATGCTTCAAAGTAATTTATTTATACTGATGACTCTAACTCTTTATTTACTGTCAAATAGCCTTCGACATGTATTCGATATTTTTTAAAAGTAATAATAATGGTAACAAAAACGATGAACAATAGTCGCACGCGCCCCTGCCCTTGAACCTTTGACCTAATTACTAGAGTTCAAGGTCAGGTAAAACAAAATTGATAACATTCTGGGAGTTCTTATATTTGTTAGCGGAAGATGATACTTTAATACCCAGTGTATATATTACAATCCGAGAGCTTAAACAACTATGGGTGTGCAGTCATTTTAATGCCATTTCATTATAAATATTTCGAAACATAAATATATATATATATAAAAATAATAAAATAGTATAATTGCACCGCTTTTCAACACAGAGTATATGTGTATATATATAAAAAAACAGAGGCAAATGAAAGAAGTATTTACTTAAGCGTGCTGGCTGATTAAAAATTAAGTTTTTTAAATAGTCCGTGAATTTTAAATAATCGGTGCTGTCATTTGTCGGTGGAACAAATAATTTATTATTTTTATTCTATTCACTGATCTTTTACACATTAAAATGAATGCCTTCAACTCCACTATACTACTGAATTAAACCTATATCTAGTTTTACATTATTTACAATCTATTAACAAAATCCTTATATAACTAATAAATGAGTTTTGCGAGACGATTCAAGCTGTCATGTCTACACGCACTGTACTAAAATTCTGAGCAAGAACTATGGCTGACAAATGTCTGAGACGTACTTAACGCTAAGAATACAGTTCAGAATTCTAGATTAGCGCTAGCTTCAACTCCCATATGTAAATTCTAATAAGCTTTTGACATACGAAAGCCGTACTTAACGTGTCCCGACTAAAATGGTCACATTCAGAAAGTAGACATCGCTTATCTCACATTTGTAAGCCAAAAAATGGACTGGATTTTTCCTGAATCTACTTTGAGTATCTTTCCCGTTAAAAAACCTATTGGACTTAGATTGGAGTCGATTTAGCTACGTCTCGACGGTAAGATAATCAGTGTTGCTTCTTCTCTTAATTGACGAACTCTCAAAATTGACGAATATAAATACCCGCTGTTTCCTCTTATGTCAGAAGTGATCACAAAACGTTGCCTACGTTTCAAAACGTTATGAGTTACAATAATGCCACAAAAACTATAATAAAATTATATATTTATTATAACAGGGATATTTATTTTCAAATATAAACATAATTGCGACATTTGATTTTGTTTTAAATCTTAAATTTATTAAAAACTAAGTATTATACAGATAATCAACTGTCATTTTGACAGCTGTAGCCAATACAGATTTATAATCTTAATTTTATAATAATAAATAATACAATTTATATTTACAGATTTGCATTAAACTAAATATATTGGTGCTAATTGTAATGTATATATATTATTGTTCTATAAAAATATCATTTAATTTGTGACAGTTTATAAAATGAATGAGTAAATTAGGTTATTTGAAAGATTTGACAATTTACGTCATTGTCACTTCGACTAATCTATAATAATAATAATTGTATTGTCTGACGTATTAATCAATATTGAATTACCGATTTTTTTAAATCAATAATTATTTACAAGTTATTTTACTCCATAACGCTTCTTAATGCCATATTATATGCAGATTATTCTCATAACATTTTTCAAGATTGTCAAATAGGCATTAATTGTATTTTTAATGACGTAACGACGTAACAGGGGGCAGGAGGCTACTGAAGTGTTGACGCCGCCCATGGACACTCAATATCAGAGTGCTCGTGAGCGCGTTAACGGCCTTTTCAGAATTGGTACGCTCTTTAACTTTCTGTTACGTTACGTACAGATACGGGCAAACTTCTTCAGCATTAAACAAGGAAGTGGGGGAAAGTTTGCGCACCGCACACACAAACGTCAACTGATTTACCAATCACCCGATCGACTCGTCACTCTCCCGCAGCCGCGCCCCACCGCCCGCCACCCACTCCCAGTGATACCTAAAAATCGCTTCTGCGCAGGCCATTAATTGTTCAAGATGTTTGCCGGTATCTGTAATAGATCTACATAAGAACTAGCACCTAATTCGTTTTAACCAAAGCACACCTGCGACTCTTTCTGTCACTAGTTTTGTCTTTGCCCTATACGGATCTGAATTTTTTACCGGTTTTAAGTAGTAACCGCGTATGTGATCAAAACTTTGGCTTGCTTTTTTCTACACCAGTTTACTTATTGGCCTAAAACGTCATGAGAAAACGGATTTAGTTTTATAAGCTAGCAATTAAGTCTAAGTTAGGAACGTCAATGAAATGTATCTTTACTATAATAAAAGATATTGGAAGAATCGATATTTATGCTATATTATATGTACAAAATATTCTAAGTTACCGATAAACACTGACAGTTGACGTATGTCTAAATGAAATTAGCTCTATAATTTTTTTTAATGTCAAAACGTCATATTGTCTTTGATCAGAGAGCGCGGGAAAAAGGATTGTCTAAAAAACTAATTTATTCATATTATATCCTTTATAACATAGGACTATGTAGTTCCAACACGAAATAGCTTTTATTTTATTTATTTATTGATAATTTATAACTATGAATGGATATTCTAGTTTTGGCCTTAGTTTTGTGTATCTGTTTCGTATTTTTTATAGTCAAGTAGGTGAGCTTGTGCCTGACACAACGACATGTATTTTCCCTCAGGAAGAAGGGAAAAATACAGTTGAAAAGCTTATTGACAAGGCTAGCATTGAAGTCTTCACACAGTTAATGATGTGCACAGGCTGTAAAATCTACTTAAAAAAGCTGACCAACGATTTTGGAATGTTCTATCTTAATAGAAAATTTGATGGGTCATGACTTCACCCTGGATCCGCCTGTTTTTTTTTTAATATTATGGCAATAGTTTTGACTTTATGCCAGTTTATCCACCTCTGTTTAGATTTATTGTCATTATGACGCCATGTCATTTGCCACGTAATCTATGGACCATTTTAACAGAC